CTTTTACAACAATACGACCCTCGTCTTAAGCAATTTTTGATTGATGGCTTTTCGTTTGGATTTCGAGTTGGGTTTGTTGGTGCTAGCCAATTACGTCTTGCTTCAAATTTACGCAGTGCGAAGGACCAACCTGAAATTTTAGCTGCTAAACTTGAGAAAGAATACACCGAATGTAAATATGGCGGATCTCTCGGTAGGGCCCGGGTCTAGTTGCGCGAAAGCGAGGCTAGTGAGGCCTCAATAGTTTTGTTTTGACTGCGCGTCTTAGCGATCCAGTCGATGAATATGGTTTCCTCCGAGTTGTTACGTGCTTAAGAGCCATCAAATAGGAGATTTAACTCCAGCAGAGACGAAAGTTGATTATCTTCGCTTTGCCAAGGTTCTTTACGAAGAAAGAAATGGATTCAAGCGATTCGGCGCGGCGAATGGAGGCACTCTACTATCACGGAGTTATTTTTTAAAAGAAGGAAAGTGTGCTTGCTTCACTTCGGAAGAGAAGACTCACGAAACTATTATAATGGGTGAATAACTGAAAGATTCATGGTGCTGTTTCAAGTTTGTTTTGTCCGTTCTCTTACCAAGGAAAGGTAAATATCCTCGAGGACAATTGAATCCGCCGTCGCGACTTACCAATCTTTAGGCGCTCTCAGGGACACAACGACAAACAACAAGGGCGAATGTTTTTTCACAGTCTTCACGATCCTGTGTTCAAGAGTTTGAGCAGTGCTATAAAAGAAGCAATTTTTGGAAAATCGCTGTTAGTTTATCTCGAAACCATTCGACAAGTTGCTAAAATAGATCACGCGCAAGGTCAAATACTATGCTCGAATACTTGCACGCTCTTTTTCTTCCAGAACCTTTTTTCTTCTTCTTACTTTCTTAGTTGGCAACGGTTCCTCCGTTAGTTTTTTCAGTGCATTTTGATCAAGGACTGTTCTTGAAATATGTCGCTTTCTTCTGGTTCTTACATAGTTTCACAGGCCACGCTTGTAGGATTAACAGGCGATTGTTATTGTTGTTGTTATATTTTAATGCAGCTGTTTTCAGCGGCAAATCTAAAAGATCTTACGGTCCACCGCGGATGCTCCCGTTCTCGAGAATGTTTACCTTTTGTTGGATAAATAACAGACCATGCAGACCATCTTGGAACAGCACTATCTCTTGTGAAAATTATTTCATTCAAATACTTTCGTGAGTCTTCTCATCTAAAGCAAGTGAGCGAGCACAGTTTCGCTGTAAAGTGCTCCCATCGCCGCGCCGAATCGCATGAATCCTTAGGTTTCTTTGTGAAAAGATCTCGGGAAAGTAAAGGCTATTCTAGCTAGAGTAAAATCTTCTTTTTGGTGGCCTTCAGGCATGCAGCAACTCGATGCAAACCATATCGATCGACTCAATCGCTAAGACGCGCAGTCAAAACAAAACTCTCGAGGCCTAACTAGCCTCGCTTTCGCGCAACTAGACCCGGGCAGGCCGAGAGGTCCGCCATATTTGCGTTCGGTGTATGGTGCGCTGGGAGAATTGTAGGTCCATTTTCTCGTCCACCTTTTGATAATTTTATTTCTTCACCTTTAGGCGTAGTTCCAAAGAAAACCCCAGGGGAATTTCGTATTATACACCATTTGTCATACCCAGATGGATCGTCGGTGAATGATTTTATTCCGGACCAATTTTCGTCGGTTCAATATGCTTCAATAGGTGATGCTATTACACTCATTAAGTCGTTAGGTAGGGGTTGCTACAGGGCCAAGACCGACGATATAAAATCAGCTTTCCGCATTATTACGATTCACCCTGACGATTACCATTTACTGGGTATGACATGGAATAATTCGTACTTTTTTGACCGGTGTCTGCCCATGGGCTGTTCTTCGTCTTGCGCTATATTTGAAGCTTTTAGCACTGCGCTCGAGTGGCTTGCTAAACACTATCTCTGTGCTTCCGGTGTTTTGCATATTCTGGATGATTTCTTGTTTATTGCTACCTCTCAAGGGAAATGTGCCTCCGATTTAAACAACTTTTTGAGTCTATGTGATATTGTTTAGGGGTACCTATAGCACATGAAAAAACGGAAGGTCCTTCAACCACTTTACAGTTTGCTGGGGTAACACTCGACACGTCTGCCGGACTATAAGCTTCAAAAATGCAATGCTCAGTTATTGGACATGCACAGACGCCGTAAAACTACCCTGAAAGAACTTCAATCTTTGAATGGATTATTAAATTTTACTTGTTCAGTCGTATACGGATTACTGAAGCCTGTCGTCGAGATTTATTAGTATGGCTTCAATTTTTAAGAGATTTTAACGGCCGTACATTTTTTCTGGACGAACCGTGGCTGGTTTCACCGCCTCTCGAACTTTACACCGACGCCGCGGGCTCAAAGGGCTATGGCGCACTTTTTGGGAAACATTGGTTTTACGGCGGGTGGCCTGCCAATTGGAAATCATTGAACATTGCATTTTTGGAGCTCTTTCCGATTACTATCTCGCTCCACGTGTGGGGATGTCAAATGAGCAATCAATGTGTCTCTCTGTTTACTGATAATGCGGCTTTGGTTGACATTATCAATAAGCAGACTTCAAAACACCCCATGATCATGATCTTAGTACGTGACCTTGTCCTAACATCACTACGTCAGAATATTTTTTTCGGGCTTAACATATACCCCAGAGACCCGGGCGGACTTAATTTCTCGTTTACAGATTAATTGTAGATTTCAGGAAAGCATTCCCAGATGCCGACCCAGAGCCAACCCATGTTCCCGAGACCCTTCTCCCGCAGAAGTGGTTGATACGTTAAAGTAATTACTACATTCCTCATTGTCGGAGCAGTCTCGCAAACAATACTCACGTGCTTGGGTTGTCTTTACTGAATTCTATACCCGCTATCCGGGTGCCGATTTACATTTGCCTGTTTCGACCGCGTGTATCGCATTATTCATTTCCTTTTTATGTGCCAAGGGCCTTGCTCCTGCTACCATAAACTCGTACCTATCAGCAATAGCATATGTACATAAGATCAAAGGCCACTACGGTCTGTGCACACTTCGGCCAATCCAATTTTCCATTTTTCCAACAAAAACGGAAAAAGGAAATATTACTTATCCTTATCATATTTACATATTTTAAAGTACGGACAAAAATAGAAAAAAAGAAAATGGTCAGGAAAATTGATCATTTTTTCATTTTTCTAATTTTGAAGTCCGCTTCAAAAATACAAAAAATACTGTAAACGGCTAAAAGCGATATTTTGCTATTTTTTATTTTCTTGATATTGTTAGAACATGAGAAAAATGAAATAATCTCTGATTCCTAACTCATTTTTCTATTTTTCCGTTTTTCCCAAAAAATAGAAAAACAGAAAAATGAAAAAATGATATCTATTCGTACCATTTTTTCATTTTTTCCATTTTGTTCAAAAAATGAAAAAATAGAAAAATGGCATTGATATCGTCGAATTTTCCATTATTCTATTTCCACATGAAAAATTTCAAAATGAAAAATTGACAGAAGTTGATAAATATTTTATCGTTTATTATTTTTTTGAATTTAAATATACCCAAAAAATGAAATCTATTTAAAAATATATTTTTCTATTGGGCACTGTTTAAAGCAACAATTTTAACAGCAGTCCTTCAAGTCTTATATATACTATTTTCACTATTGTTTTGCAATCGCCAGCAAATAACAAGACAAATTTTGATGTAATTTTACCAAATACATTTATGAAGCAAATGTTTCGACAAAAACATTTTCCTGGCGTCGGGGCAAAGGGCCTGGGAATACGTTACATTCTTGGTGGGACCTTCAAAAGATGGCGGGCATTGAACAGGTTGTAACTGTTCGTTATGTAAGAGAGCTTGTTGAAGAGCAGGAAAAAACACATAGAGAAGTAAGTGACATTTTAAGGCAAGAGCATCCTGGAGTGCAAGGACTATCCGAGAGAAGTGTCCGCCGGTACTGCGCTACGAATGGGATACGACGTCATGATTCGCATTTAACTCGTGGAGCTGTCGATGAGGTGGTGGCTTCTGCAGCTGCTGAGGTGAGGGTACATGTTTTTAACATTTTTAGTTTTGGATTCGTAAGCTATACGATATCCTTCCTTGTAGCAAACGTTTTAAGGTTTGCTAAAAGTTGTGAACTTGTTGTTTTGTTCACCTGTGTAGCGTCACTTGAGGCGTCACACAACAAGGAATGCGTTACTTTCTTGCTCCCCATTCCGGAACTCCCTGCCCTAGCATACCGTATTTCCTCGAATAATAGCCGAGGCAGATTATTTCTTTTTCTCACACAAAAAGGGGGCGATTATTCGATGGAGGCGATTAATCATGGGACGGTTATTATTTGAGGAAATACGTTATTAGAACACCAAAAATAACGCTACATTTAAATCTTGACTAAGGACTTTCTTATTTGTGAAGGAACGTTTTCTTTGCTGTTTGATGTTTTTGTTGCCCTCCTATTTGACCAAGCATTGGCTTGCAACCATGAATACATTTTCGCACGGGAAATGTAAGCTTTGATTCTTGATTGAGCTAACTTATTGCATTGGTAGCTCGTATTTCCGTTTTGCTTGAAAATGGCGAGAGCGGTTAAGGCTGTATTGGTCTCTCTTTGCGTCAATGTCACGCAACAAAAGCTAGGTGGTTTATTGACTAAATGGCCGATTCAATATATTTTTTTAAACTTAAACAAAGGTTTTTAATCGTAAAGGTTGGTGCTACATACGGAAGAAAGATGATGACTGGCCACATCAAGCATTCGACAGGCTTGCGACTGGGAGTAAACAGAGTGGGGCAGGCACTTAAACGCGTTAATCCACGCTAGCACCATGAACGACAGACATCGATTACCCGCCACTTAAACCCTGTTCTATATTATGCCGAATACTTTGGACACAAGCTCCATCTTGATCAAAACGAAAAGCTTATTCGTTATGGCGTGACAGAGGTTATAGCAGTAGATGGCTATAGTTCCTTTATAACTGCTACATCGGTAATGCCATTGAAAAATAATATCACCATCTACAGGGATGTGTTCAGGTTAGCTCCGACATAAATATATGTTGTAGTTAATTTTTTATTTCAGTTAATTTTTATTTTTCCATTGTTTTGGGGTATGGTAATGTATGCTAATGAATTTAAAACAATGGAAAAACAAAAATTAACTGAAATTAAAAATTAACTGCAACATATAATTATATTATTTGCACATTTTGCAGGTTAGAAAAACCCTCAAAACTTCTCACTTGAATTAAAAGGTACAATTTAATGATACTTCATCCACTTGTTCTATTATTAAGAAAACCATACTACGTCATGGTTTGTTTGACCAAGTGAGAGTGGACCATGGGAGGGAAGTTTATTTAGTGCTGACGGTTCAGGATCACTCAAAGGAGTTACGGAATAATACATCTAGACAGCCGTACATACAAACACAGTCAAAGCAGGTACGTGGTAATATAAAGGGGAGGAGAAATGAACCGGTTATTTTCTAACGTGATCCGTGGGCGTGGACCTGAAAAACCCAATTTTCGCAGGTTTTCTAAACAAGGTGTTAAAGAAAATGAAACTCCTTAAGAGCAGGTTGGAAAGCTGACGTTTTCAGTGCTAGCCCGTCGTCAACAATAACTTTAGGCTGCAAGTCCTCCGTGACACATTCTTGCCTAGGAGGACCTGGGACACAGGATTTGAAGTCCTAGATTTTAGGAATTCCGGTTATTTCCGATTCAAAAGTAAGTTGGAGGATTCTCTTTTATTAGCTTTGAATCACCTAAATTAACAGGCTTTGACACTTTGGAAAGAGCAACCGAACGCTATCAGAACCGTTGTAAAAAATCAGAAATGACCCGGAAAGCCCTAAAATCTAGGACTTCCCATCCTCGGAGACCCCAGGGGCAGATAAAGGGGGCGAGGGAAAGTCTAAACGGGCGGAAATATATATATGGAAGGAAGAAAAGTAAAGAACGGCGAGAAGAGCTCTTCTCGCCGTTCTTTACTTTTCTTCGTGCCACATTTTTCCGCCCGTTTAGACTTTCCCTCGCCCCCACTATCTGCCCCTGGGTCTCCGAGGATGAGGACTTCCGACACTCCTGACCCTCGTGCTCAGGCCCCCAGGAGTCTTTGGCGAGTCTAGTATTGATAAGTATTTGTTTTACTATTATAATTCTTAATAAAAGAACCATGCTGTGGAACGGCTCTGGGTAGAGGTTAACTGTCGCACAAACTATCCTATAAAGAGAGCACTCGTTCAAATGGAAAACGATGGTGTCATTGATATGGAGGATGAAGCAACAAAGTTCTGTGTCTCTTGGGTGGCGAAGAAAGTAGTGGAAGTAGGACTGAGCTACGTGGTCAACTCATGGAATTCACACCCCATTCCAGGTAAGGAGTCCTACTGTAAAAAAAATATATAACAATAAAAAAAAATAGCAATATTAAAAACAGACTAAAATCATAATGTTCCATTGGATGAAACACACGTTCGCGTACGGCTCAGCTATTGCTGTAAGTCGTTGGACTATTTCGTTCGCTTGGCAAGTGAGTTGGCAAGCGATAACCCATTGATACACGGGACATTTTTATAACCCGCGTGGGGAATTCTCCCTGAAATGAATTAAGGATAACCCTTCCTGATTAGTCATACTATTTTTTCAAAAAGTAGAATAGAAACGTGAATGCGATTGTCTACAGATCTCTAACCGCAGAGACTTCCCTTATAAGCGGGTAGCTAATTTATGTATGTCGACAGTTTAGTCCAGAAGAATAGTAGCTCAGATCTTTAACTGACACCAACTTACTTTAAAATTGTGAAGGTAAAGGTGTTCCACTACAACGACGATGTACTAACAACAAGGCCGCTCCAGTTGACGGCAATGTAGTACCAACAGTCGAAGCAGCTGTGCAGATGTTTCGCGGCGATTTGACTCAAGAACACTTCTTTGGAAGCGATCCTTTGGCGGCCAATATTTCAAAAGCAGATGCCAGAGAAAGAGAGTTCACAAAATACTTTCCGAGTTTCAAAGTATTGTTTAATGAAATTGCCAATACGAACTATAACCCTTTCCAAGATGCTGTACTGTACTTTTTGAGGCTCACAGATTATCTCGCTCGCGCTTGAAGTTATAGATCGTTTCTTCAGTACTTTTTGAAAGTTCGCTTGAATAAAGAATTGAATAGAGGTCCAAATAATCGATATAAACGTGATCTATAAATTATAAACTGAAAATCTTTGACTTTAGTGTTGAAAAAAGTTTTTTTTTTCACCGTTCAAATTGAAAGAGTGGCATATCTTCTAGTTAATAATTTGAGGAAATCGACGTCAAAAACATCATCAACAACAAAAGTTTATTCCACTTCAGAATTAGTTATTAAACAGGAACCTTTGATCATTATCTTTATGTCCTTATATCATTAAGTAAAAATGAACTATTGACCTATGTCTGATTACAATCTTTCTGAGACAGGTTACACATGGGTATTGCTCTGTACATGTACAATAATTATACTAAGGCAGGAATTTCAACCACATCAAGTGAAATAGGAGGTAGTTACGTCTAAAATTTGAACTAAAAATGTCTATGATGAAATATCTTCTTCCAATGAAGGGTGTCTTGCTCATTAAATGGACTCATCGAGCTTTGAGATGATAACAGCGAAGTCTTCAACTCCTTTTAGAGAGAAATACTTTTCTCTTCCATCATCGCTTTTGCATACTGGGCAACGCCCATCCTTCCCATACCACCTCTCTACACAAGGTGTGCAAACAAGCAGTCGCTGACAGCAGCCAGAGACTGTGATAGGGCGTGCCATCTTAAAACAGATACAGCACTTAAAATTTTCTTTAATGCTAGTGGACAGTATGCTGTTACTTTGACACACTTTAGCTAGGTCATCCAATTTCTCTGATATTTCGTCCAGCACGTCCAAATCCAAAGGCTCTCTCTCTGGTTTATATCTTTTGTTTTTCCCTCTGCTCCTGTCCGCTTGTTTTTTTTTTCTTTTGGCATCAGAGAGGGTAATGGCGTAAATTTTTTTTTGCTGGAACATTCCAGAAATCCTCGCCTTGAAAAAAAGGAAAAAAAATAGACTTTCAAACGATTGATATGAGCATTTTTACTTTTTCTAATTGCCCTATACAGTAGTTTCACTTTTACAGCACTTTGTTACCCCTCTTTGGTATCGTGTGTCAGTCCAAAAAAATAATCTGGCATCTCATTAGCTGATCGAAACCTTATGACTTAAACCCTTTAACTGCCAGAAGTGATCAGTAGATAAATTATCCTTATATTCTTAATTAATATATAATTGTGAGCAGACATGTATATAGATTAGAAAAACTTTACAGCAAGTCGCTACCTAAATATATAACCCAAATTTAACGTGCAACGAAAATTAATGTAAAGCAACTAAAAGAGTGGAAGTGCTTATCAGATCTTGTGAGTTAGTGACACTGTATGGGAACGCATTTGGCTGATGGTGGCTGTGTGGACATCCAGGGGGAAGTTAAATAAAGAAAAACGTTAAAGCCAAAATATAAATTTCAATAGTGTGCTAATTAGATAGAAGTGGCTGTTATCAGCTCATTAACTGAAACCACATACATATCTCTATGCGTCCCAATCAGCAAACAGCTCGCGAAGTGGCTTATCTGTTAAAAAAAGCTTACCCCTTGTCGACTCACTGTCCATTATTTCAAAGCCATGGACGTCCATGATCACTAAATCCTCGTCCATATTCAGATATTCTTTCACTAACTTTGCTACGTCGTTGACGTTGCATTCTTCCGGAGCTAACCTCAAATGAGCTGTGTGGGTCTTCACAATTTCTTTATCTTTAAAATGCGCTAAGAAGACCACTCTTTTAAAGCTCGGTGATGCCTTGTTTTTTCCTTTTCCCTGAAATGAAGACAACTTGCTGCTGACACTAGTGTGAGCTTTAACCTGTGTTGCGGTTGCTGTGGAACGCCCGATGCCAAACTGCTGCGGTGAAGGAATCAGGACTTCATTGCAAAGACCGGGCACATTAGAGCTTTCTCCCATAACTTGGAGTGTAAGCTTGTCCTGCCAGAATGTAGCGTCAAATGCTCCTGTGATGTCACAAGGGAATCTAGCAATTCTGGTAAAGTCATCCTCAAGGTACAAAGTTTCAGGAACAATCTGAAAATAATGGTGAAATAAGTAATTTACAGTATAAAAAAGGAAAAGCCACGAGCAACTTAATTGCTTGAAGGCGCAATTTCAACATTCCAAATAGTTTTCATAGGCAGCATTGCATGCAAACGCTTTATGGGAAGCGCGCGAGGACTATCAGGCTTGGGTTTTGGTGCACAACCCATGGGAGACGAGACGCAGAAGGTGGCTTGGGCAAGGAAAACAGGCGAGAGACACCTTCCAAAATGGTAATTTGCCCCGGGCACATTCAGCTCTACTCCTATCAAAACTGTTTCGTTACAAGACATTACTGATCCCGCTATTAGTAAACGTAATTGTGTTTTGTTGTTTACCTAAAAAAAACTGTGGCAAAAATAATTTTGTGTGCAATTTTATGAGCAACACTCCTTTATGGCAAAAAGTGTTGCAAAGAAAATAATTCAAAATGTATCATCCTTTATCTCAGCTTAAATATCCTTCTTGGGATGGGGGAGTGCGAGCTGGGGTGGTGGGGTGGGGACAGACCCTCAAAAATATCACTTACATGTCTGCAATCGATTACACGGCGTACAGCCGCTTATCTTACAAAATCTTTTAAAATAAAACTTGCTGAATGTTTGACAGGCTTTTAACTGTTTTTTTTTTTTTTCAACCAAAATAAACAATATGGGTATGACGCGTTGCGTGACAGAGGTAGATACTTCATTGCCAAGTGCACGTGCAGCAAATTCCGCAACCCATATAATGCCGATGTTAAAAAAGCTAGTCCGTTTCTAAAAAGATGTATTTAAGATCTCATTGCTTGATGCTTTATTATTTTTGCCTGTGTCTTTTTTGCTTATATTTACTGCAATTCTTTGTGTCTGAATTTCTCTTCTCCTAGCTATGGAACTAGTACGTATTGGCAAATTTCGTTCATTAACAAAAGCGTGGGAAAGTACTGAGTAGTCTAAAGGCACTCGCACGCTCTGTTGTGCAAGCTGTAAAATTGAGAATAATTATTATAGGGAAATAAAGGATGATTCTATGTGTATGAAGAAGTCTTATTCTAATCGATTTTCTATCGGAGTAGCTTCCATTTGACTCAGTAAATTCCCTGCTCAAATATGCAATAAAATAATTTGAGAAGCAATCATGATTGTACATTCTGTACGTAGCTAGCCGAGAGCTTAACAAGGTCTACCAAGAGCCATATGGGTCCGTGCACACTTCGGCCAATCTAATTTTCCATTTTTCCAACAAAAACGGAAAAAGGACATATTACTTATCCTTATCATATTTACATATTTTAAAGTACGGACAAAAACAGAAAAAAAGAAAATGATCAGGAAAATTGATCATTTTTTCATTTTTCTAATTTTGAAGTCCGCTTCAAAAATACAAAAATACTTTAAAGGGCTAAAAGAGATATTTTGCTATTTTTCATTTTTTTGGTATTGTTAGAAAATGAGAAAAATGAAATAATGTCCAATTCCTAACTCATTTTTCTATTTTTCCGTTTTTCGCCAAAAATAGAAAAACAGAAAAATGAAAAAATTATATTTATTCGCACCATTTTTTCATTTTTTCCATTTTGTTCAAAAAATGAAAAAATAGAAAAAAAGCATACTTGTCGCCCAATTTTCCACAATTCCATTTTAATAAGAAAAATGAAAAAAATGACAAGTGTTACGAGTAATTTTCTATTTTTCCATTTTTTAATAAATAGTAAAACTTTAAAACGATACACCCTTTCAGACAGTTTTTCATTTTTTATTTTATTGAAAAATGGCGCAGAAAAGTGAGAAGTTATGAATATTTTAACGGTGAAGAAAAGAAAAACCTAATTCGTATCCACTACCGACGCACTAATTTGGTTAGAAAATTTACACAGGGTCGGCGGAGATGTGGGGGAATTGGGGGTGTGGTGGGGGGGGGGCTGGCTTAGTTTTCGAGAAGCGGACGTAGTTCCATTCACTTTTGATCTCGATTTCCCTGAAGGTTTGAGTTGTCGGGAGTCGACTTGTGGATGAAAGCGGCGGGAAAACCGTAACGTACCGGCCGTGGAAATGAAGAACATTAGAAAGGGTACGAGGGAGGAGGAGAAGGCGTGAAAATTGGTACGGGAAAAGGGGGTGGTAACTCAACGGTTTTCATGCCAGCAACAGTATGATCCCAGCACAAGAAAAGCGGTTCATGAGAGAGATTAAGGGGAAGGAGTTAAAAAGAAGGTCGTTGAACAGTCACAGGCAAAAAAATAAATAAAGAGCACGCCAGTGAAGAGGTCAGACGCTTTTAAATGAAATAGATGCTCAAAAGTAGACTGCTTAGCCTGCCGAACTAACGGATCTTGCCGCAGAACGGGTGATTTAGGATTGCAAGAGTAAAGTATGTTGAATTTGAATTGTTATTATGGAGGAGAAACATAACGAGGCGCCTATTATACACTCGCGGGAAAGACCTCTTCACTGGCGTGCTCTTTATTTATTTTGTGCATGTGACTGTTCAACGACCTTCTTCTTTTCCCCTTAATCTCTCTCACGAACCGCTTTTTTTGTGCTGGGACCATAGTGTTGCTGGCATGAAAACCGTTGAGTTATCCCCCCCCTTTTCCCGTACCAACTTTCACGCCTCCTCCTCCTCCCTCGTACCCTTTCTAATATTTTTCTTTTCCAGGACCGGTACGGTACGGTACGATTTTCCCGCCGTTTTCATCCACAGTCCACTCCCGACAACTCAAACCTTCAGGGAAATGGAGATCAAAAGTGAATGGAACTACGTCTGCATCTCGAAAACTAAGCCGTCCCCCGCAAGCCCCCTCACATCTCCGCCGACCCTTTGTAAATCTTCTAACCAAATTAGTGAGTCGATAGTGGATACGAATTAGGGTTTTCATTTCTTCACCGTTAAAATATTCATAACTTCTCACTTTTCAGCGCCATTTTTTTCAATAAAATGAAAAATGAAAAACTGTCCGAAAGAGTGTATC